AGAACTTATTTGTTTATAATTATTAAGATCATTTGTTTATAATTATTAAGATCATATGTATATTATAGAAGTTGAATAAAAAATGGACGTGAGAGAAATCAATTTTTTTTACCCTCGAAATTTCTTGTCCTTTTTTGACTTTGGGTGGATTCTTCGCTCATGGTAGAATGTGTTGGTATAAAAGATTGATGCGCACATTAGATAATATTTTGAGAATGGTGACATATAATAATGTATTTTAGGTTGCCTTTTTGGCCAAAACTTTCAATTGTTTGAAACAAATGGTAGTAAAATACTAAAATTCTTGAGTATTTTTTTAGCTTTTGATTGATGGATATATATCATTTGCTTACGTTTATCGTGCTTCTACCGGTTTATATTTTCTAAGGTGAGTGTCGATTTGTATTTCGCAAGAAAAAAGTACGAATATGTAGTGAGACATCTTAGGGTGAGAATATAGACTTTTACTTCATTGAGTGTCAGATGTTGTTTATCAGGATTGTAATGAGTGTAGTCTCCTAAATTCGATTTCTTGTAGCATGAGTTTATTTAGAATTTTTAAATTTTAGCCCACCCTAAAATCATTTCGTGGCTCCGCCCCTGTTTATGATCTACTTTCTTTTTGATTTTAAGTATGAGGTCATTCATTCATTATGTTGGTGCTTTCGAATTTTAGGTAGCGCGGGTGATGTCTTGGAAGATGATCCAGTTGGAAGGTTAAAAGTTTTTGTTTATGAGCTTCCTAGCAAATACAACAAAAAAATTCTACAAAAGGACCCACGATGCCTGACTCATATGTTTGCTGCTGAGATTTATATGCATCGATTCCTTCTATCAAGCCCAGTTCGAACCCTTAATCCCGAGGAAGCAGATTGGTTCTACACACCTGTATATACCACCTGCGACCTTACACCAAATGGTCTCCCCTTACCATTCAAATCGCCACGTATGATGAGGAGTGCTATACAGCTTATTTCTTCCAACTGGCCTTACTGGAATAGGACTGAGGGGGCTGATCACTTCTTCATTGTGCCGCATGATTTTGGGGCGTGCTTTCACTATCAAGTAAGAACTTTAGTTGTCTCTCTCTTTTTACTCCACTCGTGATACTAAGTGCATATTTGTCTGAGCGTCGAAAATGTAAGAAGTTAATTAAAAAGCAACCTTTTGTCCCCAATTGTTTGGATCGCTTACTTTCAGGTAAAAATATTAAATACTACTTATAATTACTTATTTTTGAAAGTAAATCTTACCTTGCTGTCAAAATAAGTTAGTTACTTATTTCCAACTTTCATCAATAAAAATAAAATTATTTATTTTGAAATCTACTTATATTCTTACCAAAAAAAGAAACATTTTAAGCTTACCAAGACACGTTCTCTACTTCCCTTGCACTTCTGAAGTTTGCGTGCATCATTTGCAGCGATTTGGCCTGATATGTATATCTTATTTGCTCACTGCAGGAAGAAAAGGCTATTGAAAGAGGGATTCTTAAATTGCTCCAACGTGCTACCTTGGTTCAAACTTTTGGACAACGAAACCATGATTGTTTAAAGGACGGTTCCATCACTATTCCTCCATACGCTCCACCGCAGAAAATGCAAACCCATTTGATTCCTCCTAGCACTCCTCGGTCCATCTTTGTTTACTTCCGAGGTTTGTTTTATGATGTGGGGAATGATCCAGAAGGTGGTTATTATGCAAGGTATATTTCAATAGACGTTCATCATGCATATGTTTAAATGCCATTATTAAAATAAGTTGATTTGAATTTAACCTGCCTAACACATCATCGAAATGAAATGAGAAAGCAGAGCATCCTATTATTTGTAATCTAATTTCTGTTTCAAACTTTATAGAGGTGCACGAGCATCAGTGTGGGAGAATTTTAAGAACAATCCCTTGTTCGACATCTCGACTGAGCACCCTACTACTTACTATGAAGACATGCAGAGAGCTGTTTTTTGCCTGTGTCCACTTGGATGGGCTCCGTGGAGTCCAAGATTGGTCGAAGCAGTTATATTTGGTTGCATCCCTGTGATCATAGCAGATGATATTGTCTTGCCATTTGCTGATGCAATACCATGGGAAGATATAGGAGTATTTGTAGCAGAGAAAGATGTCCCTAAATTGGATACTATTCTCACTTCGATTCCCATTGAAGAAATATTAAGGAAACAGAGATTACTCGCCAACCCTTCGATGAAACAAGCTATGTTATTCCCACAACCTGCTCAATCAAGGGACGCTTTCCATCAGATTTTGAATGGTCTTGCTCGCAAATTACCCCATGATAAGAGTGTGTACTTGAAGCCAGGCGAGAAGATCCTCAACTGGACGGCGGGTCCAGTGGGTGATCTCAAACCATGGTAGTTGCCACCTTTCCAGATGCCAGTCATCTGAAGTACAAAATTGTATACAAATTTCAATACTTTTTGCAGCTGTAGGGCTCTGTTGATTTAGATGCCAACTTGCCAGAGATTGGGATGAATCTGGAAATTTAATCTTTTGAATCAATGATATTTGCTGCCAAGAGTATTGCATCAAAGAGACTTTATTCATTGCTGCATTCAGCCAAAATTCACTATATATCGTGATTCTCTCTTTCTGAATTGCTATTATGGTTAACAACGACTGGATTAGATGTGAATGAAACAAAACCTATTTACAAACAAAATTAGTTATTAAAGGATTATATTCGAGGCCCAATATCGTAAAAACTATAGACTAGAATTGGTTGGGTGTGCCAGGCCCAAGCAATAGTGCAACACCAGGGCGACACTCAGGAGCCCCAGTAGCAAGCTACTGTGGCGGACTTTTCCCCTTAAAAAATTAAGGGTACCGCTATTTTTATCCACGCTTTTTATATATACATCCACATTTAAAAATTAAATTTTATTATATTTTAAGTCATATGTAAATTTACTTAAATAGACATAAACAAAATTAAATAAAAATACATAACTCTAAATTGATCCACTAGTTTTTTTTTTTGATCAGAGTAACCTAAATCTTTTTATATTCTATTAGAGATTATGTTTAACTAGAGTCCTAATAGATCAAAGAAATTTACATGAATATAATTATAGGCGATGGTGGCAAAGCAAGTTTGATCGATGAAACTGCGGAAGAAAGGCCCAAAAGATGAAAAGAACACTTACGGGATGGAAAAACAACGGGGAAGATGAAAAGGGCCAAAAGGATTCTGTAGGTTTTAGAAATAAAGAGAAAGTTTTGGTCTGAATTTGTGCATAAACTAACAAATTTTATTGCCAAATTAATGTTAAC